AAACCTAGGCAGCCCTCCTGGCCGTTGCTGGCCTGCTACTGCTGCCAGATGTTTGATTTGGGGGAAAGTAGCTTGACTGCCATGAGCCTTCTTTACTTTAAAAACTGATCTGGAAGTGAAAATATGAATGGCTGTAAAGTGCCCAACTCAGCGACACAAAAAGGTACTTTATGAACCCCACTGTCCCTCTGTTTTATGTACCATGGTGTCATTAATGTGGGTACCTGGACATGTTGGACAGGGGTGTGAGTCACCATTAACGCTTCTTTGGAAGTGAGCCATGTGTCTGTCACGTGGATGGATCCATTCAGGGTGGTGTGGCACACAGTGGGACAGCTTTCACCTTGAACCTCAGTGGATCATAGAAATGTGGAGTCGGGGTCACGCCATTGGCTCTCGTAGCTTCCAGGTTGGGTTCTGCAATCGGGGTCAGCATAGCAGTCATCTCCTATGACCTGGCTCCTTGGTCCATGGACGCTGCCTTCACCTTGTGTCCTCATGGGTTCTCCCTCCTGGGTCTGTGTCTTGATTTCTTCCTGTGAGGACAATGGGCTGTACTGAATCAGGATTCCCCTCGGTTGACTCACACAGTCACCTCTTTAAAGCCCCCGTCACTGGGACTGGTTTGGATTTTCAAATGCCAGTTTGGGGGATTTTATTCAGCTATAACATGAAGTGGAATCAGCCAGACACAAAAAGGCAAGCATGTGGTTGGTCATTCATGAATATGTCTGTCAGTAAAAAAAAAAAAAAACAAATGTCCTGGTTTCTGTCACCCCGGACATCACATGACTTTCTGTGGCTTCACAGGATGTGCATGTGGGTCCCCTCTCCAGCAGCAAACAGTTCTGCAGTGGTGACACCTGCAGCTGGCCTCCAACCCAGTGTAGCTCAATATTGCACCAGACACAGTGACATACCCCATAGGTTGGGTACTTGCTTCCCAGGACCGTCCTGTAGATGCCAGTCCCAAACTCCAGGGTGTCTTTGTGCTTCTGATGAACTGGGTGTCAAACTGAAATTCCCATGACCTTGCTTCGGGTACCACTAATTTGCTTTTGTGGCCCAGCAGACGTAGGAGGCAGGGTGTGTGGTGTACCAGGAAGGATCTGATGAAGGACACAGATGACGAAGTAGACAGGGTGAGTAGTAAGGGAGAGAGGGGATACACTTCTCTCCAGGACTGTGTGGAAGTCCCTCCAAAGCCCGTTCTTTGGGGTTTGTGTGAGACTCCTTTGCATTGTTCCATTTGCTCACAGTCTGGGCGGCAAACCCGGGAAGGCTTTTGTGCGTATTCTCCTTGGCCTCTCTGTGCAACATTCCTCCCTCTGTAATGATGAGGGTCCTGGGTCCTGAGGAGGGACAAGGGAAGAGTCAGAAGTTCTGGGGCCAGCACTAAGATACAGGGTCGTGGAAGGAGAGTTCGTGTGGCCTTAGAGGGATTTTGTTCCTGCCTTAGGGGGACAGAAGACTTGCTTCCTGGGATCCGCCTTGAAAAGGGAGTTGAGAGGTGGGAATGGTGGTCAAACTCCCCCACCCCTATCCCAAGTATCTATCATCAGATCGCAGAGATCTCTGGGGTAGGCACATTCTCAGAGGCAGAAGTTGAGCTATTATGGGGTGGGAAGGGGAAGAAAGGACTCATTATTCAGTGGGTATGGTGTGTCAGATGATGAAAAAGTTCTGGACGTAGGTAGTGGCTAGTATGTCACTGTGGATATACTCAATTCCAACAATTTGTATACTTAGAAATGCTTAAGTGATACTTTTTTATTTAAAAATTATTATTGCTTTAAATTACTTTTATGATACTGGGTACTGAATTCAGTGTCTTGTATATTCCAGTCAAGAGTTCTACCCCTGAGCTGTGTCTGTAGCCCCAAGGACGGAACTTTTTATGTTATGCATATTTTGCTACAGTAAAAAGGGAGGCAAGGGGCAGTGAGACGGCTCAGAGGGTGAGGACTCTTTGCTCCAAAACCCAGAGTTCTGTCTCCAGGACTCACATGATGGAAGGAGAAAATTGACTCATGGAAGTTGTCCTCTGATCTTCATCATATGCCTGACACACACACACACACACACACACACACACACACACACATACACACACACACACACACACACACACACACACACAATCCTAATTATTTCTATTAGAAAAAGGTGGTGGGAGGGGCCCCTTAAGCCACGTATACTCCATCACTGGGGATACTGAGGCAGGAAATAAAGGGTTCCAGGATTGCGTTGTCTATATAGTAAGACCCTGGATCAAAAAAATAGTCACCACAACCACCAAAGAAAACAAGAAAAAACACAGACCCAGCAAGTGTTAGGAAGGAAACCCAAGATAGTGTTTCTATCTAGGATTCTGTGAATGCTGGACCTCAGACTGATGAGGTTCTAGTGGGGAGTAGGAGGCTTCCTGTACAGCTTCTTGGGGACTCTTCTACAGGACCTGGCCTATTTAGGAATTGGAGCTTTATGTAAGCAAGGCTGAGAACTTAGGTTTTTAGTGTGGCTTTGGGGACAGGAGTGCCATCCAACTGGGGCCCAGGCTCTTCCCCTTACAGGGTGGTGAGGCAACGAAAGGAGGTACTGGCAGGTGTAATGGGGTCCTTGCTCTTTGTGAAGAGCAGGGTGGATATGAGGTAGTGCAGGATATTGCTTCAGCCCAGCTGTGGCCTCACTTGCCCATCTGCTAAGTAATTAGGGAGCCCGGGTCCTCGTAAGCCCTGGGTGAGCTTTCACACCGCACCAACCGAGCCATGGCTGCTGGAGAGTGAGTGTGGTGGTGGTTGCTGCTACTGTGACTCCTAGTCTTTTGGCCTTCATCTGGAGACATGGAGCATTAGATTAGGCTGATTCTGACCAATTACAGAGGGGCTTCCGGGAGGGGGTGGGGTTGGTAACTCACCTGAAGCTAACCACCTGTGTTGTGTCTCAGCCCTGGAATCCCAGGTGCCTTGCCGTGGAGGTGAGGTCACAGCAGGGCTGTCATCAGAGCCCTTGAAGACAGCCCAGGGTTACCTGAGTTCCCTACAGCAGATGGAGTCAGCCATGGCTGCTGTCATGAGTGTGGGGCTGTTGAGCACAGACCACAGAGTGGCAGGGCCTCTGGTTCTCCTGGCACATTCTGGGCTCCTGAGAGGGTGGCTGGAGGCCAGGGTGCTGGAGAGGAGAGACAGATGGCCTTTTAAGGAAACATTTCTGTGCCTCAGGAAAAAAAAAAAGGAGCAAGAATGAGACCAGAAGCCCTGAGACACATAAGTCCGTGGGCCAGCAGCCATGGCCCAGTCAGTTATTGGCTCCTGGTGGAAAGGCCCCTGAGATACGGCATTGCAGGGTAGTGGTGGTGGGCATGACTGTACCACCTTAGGTGCTGGTTCTTAGTGGTACATCTACCTTGGGAGTTAGGGTGAAGGACAAGGAAAGGGACCAATTTAGGACAGGCCTGGGAGAGAGACCCTTTTACGCATCCCAAAGCCGCTGCCCGTTTTATGTAGTGGAGGCCAGTTTGGATTTAGGAAGTGGAGGCAGCCCTGACCTCCTATAGGCCTCTATAGGAGGCCTCCTATAGCTCTCTCTATAGGCCACGACTGTCGGTCTGCTGAGGAGCCCAGCCAGGATGTGGCCCAGTAATTGTACCCAGACCCTGTGAGGATCAGATGAGTTGGGAGGGAGCCTCTGAGAGCCTGGCCTGTGTTTTGAATCTTCACAGCGCCCATGGTTGGCTTGGGACTGTGTAACCTGTGGCTGCGCCTGGGCTGTTGATCAGGATGGCCAGAGGCAGCTCTGGAGACCTTCTTTCTCCTCCACCCTGTCTTTGCTTCCACTCTGGGCCTTGTCTCCCCAAGTACCTCTTCTAAAAAATTAACCCTGAGCTCTATGCTCATGTAAATCAGGAACTAGGCTTTGGGCTCTTTCTGCACCCACCCCTCAATTCTCCTACAGGGAGGACCATGAGTCAACAGACCTCTTTGTACCAAATCTTGGGACCCAGGTCGCCTGAGTTCAAGTTACTAGCCTCACATTTGCCGTGTGACCTTGGGTAAATTGCTTACCCTGTCTGTGCCTCCACACCGTCCCTGGGGAGGTAACACTAGAATCTGTCTTTCTGGTTGTTAAAAAGGCAAAGCGCTTTATATAGTAACACGCCTGCCAGGTGGTACCAGCTCAGTAAATGTTGGCATGGCCTGTAGGATGGGGCTGCTTACCATCCAGAGAGGCAGCTGCCTGTGCAGCCACCCTCCGCCTTTCTGTGGACCTCTGGCCTGGTGCTTGGGTGAGGAGGAATCAGAGCCAAGGTGGAGTACTGAGATCCAAGAAAAATGTGTTGGCTGGAGAAAGGAATGCGCTGGCCTCTGGCACGTGCCCTGGTAATTGTCAGGGTGGTGTGGCCTTTAAGCCCTCCTTCCTCTCTCCCTCCTCTAGAGGTCCACATTGCCATGGCCCAGAGAAGGATGCTGATGAACTGATAATGACAGGTCCCTTCTCGGTAGTGGTCACCCTCTCCCCAAGTGCTCTATGCTGTCCCTGGAAGATCTGGCCATTCCTAGTCTGTGGGAGCCTCCTCCAGCTCTGAGTTATCATGAGCCACTGGCTGTGGGGAGAAGAGTGGGGAATAGGATTCTCCTTTCCTATGGGTCTAAATCATATTTTTCAAATATTTTAAGTCCCTCTTTCTACACTGTAGAGAAACCAGGAGAGAGAGGGGGGGGGGAGAGGGCAGGAAAAGGTAGCTTTATGGTATTTCAGGATCCAGGTTATAAATGCTGCTTTGCTGACCTATAGGAGGTGTGTTAGGTTTTACAAGATTTGACCTCTGAGGGACATTTCATGTTTGTCGTCTGGTCTAAGTTTTTGTGGTGGCCTTCTGGAGAGCCCTCCCTGTGGCCCTGAGCAGTCTGTCCCCTTGGGGATGGGGTAAGAGTGGGCTCAGGAGGCCCAGGGGCTGCTGGGACAGATGCTAACATGGACTTTCTCTTCCTCTCTCACAGGTGGCTGCCCCTTGTGTTCCTCCATCCAGCCATGAACTGGTGGTGAGTGGTCTTCCCTTCTTGTTTCCAGTCTCTCCTGAATGTTAAGAGCTGGGTTGGTGGGGTGGAGAGGGTTGAGGGCTTTGGGCTGGGCTGGTGGGAGGATATGAGTCATGAGGTCCCTCCTGACATGATGCAGGGCCTGCTCTGTGTGTCTGGAGATTTGAGGTGCTTGGGAAAACCCATAAAAGGCCATCTCGCATGTCCCCAGGCCTGGCTAGGTTACTGTTGTTCTAGAGCCTGGAGGGTGTACCACATTACCTCCTTCCACCCTCCTGACTGTAGATCTTGTACCCTTCAGCTGGAGGCAGAGGGATAGATGGCGTTTCCCAGAGTCCATCTGTGAGGTGGTGGCCTCTGCTCCTCTCCTCAGCTCTGCTATGTCCCCATGACTCTGTTTTTCTGCTTTTATGGCCCTCATCCCCTTCTTCCCTGTCAGGTTTCCAGAACAGTTCGGACAGGGGCAGGACCTCTGTGAGTTGTGGACTGTGGAGCTGGCCCGTGGCAGACTGATTCCAGCTGGGCTGATGAGTGTTGGCCAGGTTTCCTGCTTCCTTAGCCTTTCCAGGTCCCACTTCACTGCCTTCTGGGGGCAGGGCAGGTCCAAGGACTGCAGAAGGGCTCTATTTGTGTGTGTCTGTGTGTGTGTGTGTGTGTGTGAGAGAGAGAGAGAGAGAGAGAGAGAGAGAGAGAGAGACAGAGACAGAAAGACAGAGAGTAACAGAAAGACACAGAGAGATAGATAGACAGAGACAGAGACAGAGTAGGAATGTACAGAGGGGCTCCATGCAGGGGGGATCTTCTGGGGCTGGTGGGGAACACCTATGGTGGGGCCATTGTTGGGGGAGAGTCTGAGTCTGGTTGTTGGCATTTTTCACAAAAGTGAGGTCACTTGCTCAGCCTAGACATGGGACACAACCAGATCGTGTCGTTTTCTTTTGTTCCAAACCTAACTTGCCTGTGATTGTAGCCTTGTCTCTTTCTCTCTGTATCTTGGGTTTACCATTGATACACTTGGGCTCTTAGACTCCTGGCCACTTCGAAGCCATGTCACTGCTGCTCACTCAGGCCAGCTATGGAGGCCTGGCTCCCTAGGACAAGTCTCTCCTGGACTTCAGCTGCCCCACTGGGCCCTCCAGGTGGGGAGTATTATTTTCAAAGAGCCCTGTAGCAACAGCAGGGTAGGGGTGGGGCTGTGATTGGGGCCGGAGAGGTCTGACTAGAAACCTCTCCAGAGGTCGTGATCACAGAGACATACCATGTACTGGAGGAGGGTGGTGGAGAGAGAGTACAGGTGACTCTTGTCATCGGTACTAAGCTACCTTAGGGCTAAGAACAGAATGTCCTTGGCTGGCCAGGAAGGCTGAGGGTCCAGGACTTAGGGACCATGAGGTAGAGGCCAGCATCTGGCTCGTGAGCCTTGTTTACAGAGACAAGGTCCAAGGTCAGGACAGAAGGGCACAGGATGGTGCTCCAGCTGGAGGCCTGCGGTTATGAGCTGGAAGAATTGCCTGCCTTTGAAAGGCATGTGTGCCAGGTAGGACATCTTCCTGTTTCTGTGTTGTGCCTGCTTGCCCAGTGGTAGTAGCCTTGCAGGAGTTTGGATAGGGCATCTCCTGGTAAGGTTGGGGCCAGGCGGTGGGGATGGATCACAGAACCCACTTCCCTAGTAGTAAACGAGCTCCACTCCCTCCTCTGGGTTCCAGCAACCCACTCCCAGATCTTTATTCCTCCCCTACACTGTTTCCCAACTTCTTGGTGCCAACCGAGTGACCATGAACACGTCGCTGAACCCCTCTCTCTCTTAAGTTGCCCTTCTCTAGAATGGCGGCTAGTAGTCGTACCCAGTTCATGAACCTGTCAAAACATGAGACTAATCCATACGTGTGTGTGTGTGTGTGTGTATTCCAATACCACGTGACATCTGCCGCCTCACTGGAGCAAAACCTAAGGTTCTTCCACCGAAGCTGTCCTCTCCCAGCTTATCACTTTTCTCTTCACTCTGTTTTAGCTACCCAGCCTTCATCTTGCTGATCCTTAAACATGTCAGACACCATGATACTTCAGGGATACCTTACCTTCGGTTCCCTCTGCCTCCAGTGCTTCCCATAGTCACACCTGCAAGGTCCTTCCTCTCCTCACAAGCCAGCATTTCCCTTCCCACAGGAATCTCACCCCCCCCTCTCCTCTTCCCTTGGTCTGTCGTGCTTTTGACCTCTCCCATACACTACACCTTGCTTATTTATCTTTATCCTGCTGAAGGGGGTTCTACCCATTTCCCCATGTGAGTTCCAGGACCTGGGACTTCTCTCTTCCTTGTGCTCAGTAGCCGTTCATACAAACGCACTAGGCACAGTTTAGGATTGTGATAGCTGGGGGTGGGATGGTTGGTTACTGTGGTGGTCCTCTGTTTCCCCTGTCTGTGGTGAGTTCCACACATGGGGGTCTGGGGAAGGCCGCTGCATTGAGTGGGAGGCCCTATGCTGCCCTGCCAGCGGGAAAGTGGTTCAGGAGAAACAAGAAAAAAGTTTGGCTCCCCACAGAGCACTCAGCACCTGCTTCCTCCAGTGGGTGAGGCAGGTGCTTTGAGAAGGCTCCTAAGGAGGAAAGGGTGGGTTCAGGATTTTCCTTCCTTTTCCCTCCACTGCCAGCCTTTCAGACTCTGTAGGCTGCTGTCTGGCCTGATCTGTTCCTCTGTTTCCCAACTTGGTGTTTCCGTTCCATCTGTCTGTCCACAGCATGTTCTGGCCTTGGTTTGGTTCTGCTTCCCCTAGCTTTCTTACTGACCTTGGACGAATCCTGACCACCCTTCCCCTGATTCAGGCCCGGATTTTCTAACCAGCTTCAGGCCTTGCTGGCCAAACATATTTTCCAGCTTGTGCCCAGGCCAGCTAGGGCCGAGTGGTTTAATCTTTAACTCGTGTTTTCGTCTTACTCAACAGATGTTGCTCAAGGGATTGGGTAGAAGAGACCAGGGTTTGCCCCCTCCTGTGGGGTTCAAGGGGGGAGGTTGGAGTTAGGATGCTTGCCATAGACACTCTCCATCCTTGCAAAGAGCTGAAGTAGCTGTTCTCAGGCCCTGAAAGAGAGTTTGAGGAATTTCCCAATGATGATAGCTGAATGGATTGCCCCCTAAGGTACCTCATGCCAGGTGCTCTGTACTTGAGAACTGGCCCCGAGAGACCTGAGTGGGATGGTCATCGTGGCATCTGATGCTCGGTTGTCACAAGGGGTAGTACCCTGGGACGCCTGGGTAATGAGAGACACAGCCTCCCCTGCCATCACCAGCCTCACAGTGGGGGTTTGGAATGTCCTATAGATTGACCTGGAGGTCAGGTTGGGACAAGAGTTGGGGAGTAGAGGAGTTGGAGTCCTTAAGGGCACATGGTTTCACCTGCAGTAATAACATGGCATTCTCCTCGCTCCCAATCTGAGGTTTTACTTTCCTGGGTCTCAGTTACCTGATGTCAACCGAGGTCCAAAAACCCTTAGTGGAAAATTACAGAAATAAACAATTCATCCGCTTTAAATCGTGTGCCACTTTTGAGTGGTGTGTTGAAATCCAGCAGTATCTGTCCACTCATGCCCAGTGAGTACATGCTGGAGGTGCTGTTTGCCTGTGAGTCAGCAGCAGCTTCTGCTGTCAGATGGGCTATCATAATGTTGGATTCAAGTCATATAATGGTATCATAATGTTGGATTCAAGTCATTGTTATTCTACTGAATAATATCCCCACTATCCAAGAAATTTCAAAGCTGGCCAATCAGGCAGGGCTAAGGGAAGCCATGAGCTGCTTCCTGTATGTAAGGAGACAGTTCTCCACATATGTATAGGGTTTTATTCTAGCTGTCATTTAGGCATCCGTTAAAGTTTTGGGACTGCCCCAAGGGGGAGGGATCACTGCCACAGCAACAGTGAAATGCTCACACTTCATGTAGATTTGGATGTAGATGCAGGAAGGCGATCCTGTGTCTTACCTCAGTGTGGCCAGTGAGGAACTGACTCCAGGCCCCAAGATGGATCGGAGTGAGAGTGAGCTTTGCATTCATCAGCCTACCCTAGAGCTATCCTCCCGGCCACTAACAGTGACAAATGCCACTGTCACTTGCACAGTGCCTGTGGTTTTCAAAGCCTTTTCCATGGCTCAGGGCAGTTGGGAGGCTTGTCACCGGGCACCTGGGCATCCTGGAGAGGCAGGTGGAGCCACTTACAGTGGTTAGATCAGGGCTCAGGAAGGCTAGCTGCCTTGCTTGTAGGCACAAGCTGCTAGTAGCAGGTTGAGCACCCATTAGAAGGGTATCCCAGTCTGCTTTCTTAGGGCTACCCAGGTACACAATTTGGGTTTCTCATGGTCCCTAATGTCTCTGTTGGCCAGTGGGCTGGGGTGCTGAGAGAGGATCTAGCATGTGCTCAACCATTTCCTAATTGCATCAACGCTGTGCCCAGTGTCTGTGACAGCCACTGTGCCTATATGCACAGTTCTTTTCTAAGTCAGCTTACTTTGGTAACCACAGCCAACCCACACTTCCAGCCCAGTAATGTTGATTTTTGTCTTTGTTGTTGTTTGTTTGTTTGTTTTTGAGACAGAGCTCCTGTGCGTAGCCTTGGCTGTCCTGGAGCTCACTTGAACTCAGAGATCCACCTGCCTGTGCCTCCTGAGTGCTGGAATTAAAGGTGTGTACCACCACTGCCCTGAAAATAGTGTTCTTTTATGCTGGAGTTTCCAGGTCTTAAACAGTAACAGATCTCAAGATTTTTTAAAAATTTTTTTTCTTAATTTTTTTATTTTTATTTTTAATTTATGTTTATTGATTATACTTTGTATTCCCCCTGTACCTCCCAATCCCACCCTCCCTCTTCCCCACCCATGTCCTTCTCCCAGTCCACTGATGGGGGAGGTCCTCCTCCCCTTCCCTCTGATCCTAGTCTATCAGGTCTCATCAGGAGTGGCTGCATTGTCTTCTTCTGTGGCCTGGCAAGGCTGCTCCTCCCTCAGGGAGAG